AAAAGGATGAAGAAATTCACACACATACACATACATATATAGATAATGATAATGATGCTTCTTATTAAACCCCTAAGAATTTCAAAGTGTTATTGAAGTAAACATAATGATGGCAAGCTAGTTGGAACTAAGTATTTTATTAGATATAATGATGAAGTTTAAAACAATAATAAAATGAAATTAGTTATTGAGAAAAAAGATTTAGATTCAAGTAAAGATAATAATAATATGTGTGTTGATATAGAGTATTGTTAGTAGTGATATAGGTGGTGGTATTGATGCTCGTGATGTTATAAGTGGTGTATGAGTGGTGGTGGTGGTGGTGATGCTAGTGCTATTATAGATGTTGTTATGGGAGATGATATGAGTGGTGGTGGTGGTGATGCTAGTGCTATTATAGATGTTGTTATGGGAGATGATATGAGTGGTGGTGGTGGTGATGCTAGTTGTGTTGTATGAGGTGTTGTTAATACACATGAAATAGATGGTAGTGGTGATATTAGTGGTAATGTTGGAGGTGTTGTTCATAGTGTCGCTGGTTGTGATGTTGTGAGAGTTGTTGTTAGTGGTGTTGTTGGTTTTAGTGTTATTGGTAATGTGGTCATTGATGTTGATCTTAGTTAGGCTAGGGGTTCTACTAGTGATGATATGAGTAGTAATAGTGTTGAAGTTGGGATTTCTATTAGATATAATAAGGATGTTAATAATTATATATGATGATGTTGAGAAGGATGATAAAGAGTCAGAAGATGATGATTATATCCCTTTTGATAAGAAAGGATATGAGTTTCTTTTTTTTTTTTAATAAAGCTAAAGATAGTGGATTAAAACCTTACAAGGTGATGCTTGTTTGGTAAAGTAATAGATAACTTTTTAGACTATAATAATGATAGGAAACTTAGTAATGATGAAGATATTGAATATTGTTATTGATTTAAAAGTAATAATAAGTTTGATGAGCAAAAAAGTGATAATTTAAGTAAGAGGAATAAGAAAAAAAAGAGCATGAATATGATAGAAGATTTTAGTGAGAAGAGATTTAAGGTTATAGTGAATGAATCTATAATTTTTGAAGAATGTCAACTTTTAGTAATGCAAATCACTTCAAAGATGTATTGCGAAAATATAAAGTGAAACATGAATACCAATTGAAAAAGTATATTAATTAGAAAGAGAAAGTTATAACAAGATATTTAGGGGATGGTTGTACTTAAAAAATATTTATATTTTTTCTCGTTTCTAGTACCAATACATTCATGGTTAAGTCATTAAGAAATAAGCATAGTTGTTTTGACCTACATGCATAAAGGTTGCTAATTCAAAATTAATGAAAAAAAAGTTGTCAATAATTATTACAAACCCAAATATTTTAAATGAAGCACTCAAAATGGTTTTAGAAGATCAATTTAGGATTAAACCATGTAAAAGGCAAGTATAAAGAGTTAAGAGAAAGGCAAAAATTTTGGTAAAAATAAATCACATTGATTCTTTTAATAAAACTCCGAACATATATCGAGTTGTTGAATGAATATAATCTATGCTCCAATATTTTCTTAGGTTTGACCCTAATTACAATTTGAATGAGAATTCACTATGGAGATTTGAGATGGTATATTTGTTTGAAAGACATGAAAGATGCCTTTCAAAATGGATGTAGGTAATTTATTTGGATAAATGGATGTCATTTAAATGATCCATGAGTCTTATTATTGGTTATGGGTTTGAATGATAATAATATATTGTTTTTAGTAACATATGTTGTTTTTAAGTGTGATAACAATGATAAATGATGATGGTTCTTATATATATTATATGGATCCATCTAAAATGGTATGCATCATAAGCCGTATTTCATTATATTTGAAAAGTAAAAAGTAACTTTTATTCTTAATCAACAAAATTTTCATTGCATAATATGTTGTTTATCTAATTATTATATTCTTTTGTTTTTTTAAATCTTTCAAAAGCAGTATTTGAGATATTCTTGAATACGATACATAGACATTGTGCAAGACATATCTATACTAATCTAAAAAAAAAAAGGATTTCATGATTTAGAAATCAAGATTGGATTTGAGAGTGCTTTCCAATCATACACAATTCTTAATTTTATTAGCCAAACGAGGGATGCTGGAAAAGTTAAGAATGGTTTGACAATAAAGTGAAGATTGATATTATTACTAATAATTTGGCAATCCCTTAATAACTAAGAAAAAAAATATAAAAATTTATTGATAGTGTTGTTGCTAGAAAAATAAGGTTAAAGTTTATGGCTAGATTTGATAATAGGTTTATTCATATTACTAGTTGGAAAACAAGGATAACTTTATATAAAAAAGATACTTGATAAGTGTTTTGAGAATGTAACAATCATGAGAATGATCTGAGCTAATACTAATAAAAATCTAGTATATGATGGCCAAACTAAATTGTGTATTGATTTGGAGAAAGAAAATTGCTCATATGGTGAGATGATCAAAATTGAAATTTAAGGCAGACATATGATGCCTTGTATGCATCACAAGAAAGTTGAGTTGGAAGATGTATATTGTACCTATTACACTATAAAATATTTAATTATCTTTTAACAAAAATGTCCTTAATTATAATTTGAAAGAAATAGCTAAATTTAAGAAATATTAATAAATTAGATAAAGAATATTAATTAAAATAAAAAAATAAAATTGACCAAAATTAAAAAGTGAATTTCATAATTTTCATCTTTATTAAAAAACAATCATGTCAATTAATTTATATTATTTCTCCAATTTAATAAATCTTAATTTATCTATTTTTCCCATATAGTAATTATGGGATTTTGAGTAAAAGATAGGGCTTATATAACATTTTTTTAAACATGATATTTTTGTTTTATCTTCAAATTTTTGAATGATTTATATGATTTTATAATATTTACGAGAACATTATAATTTACCCTATCTAATTTTTACTAAGTATAAGAATTAAGTTATATTTTACTTTAAAAAAATGCTTTAATTGAAATTGAAAAAAAAAAGAAAGAAAAGATAGAAATAAGGATAGTGATTATACCACTTTTACTTGAGTGTGTGTGAAGGGCTTTTACCTTCACAAAAATGAAGGTGGGAAAATATAAAAAAACATTAAAAAAAAAACTTATTCAGGTATGATAGTGGAAGTGATATCCTCTAACTCTATCAATCTTTATATATGAGTTTTTATGTATTTAAATAATTTATTATGTTTATAATTTTACAAATAAATATCTAAAATAATTTGCATATTTTTTCTAAAAATATATTATTAAATATGTTTGATAAAAATTAAATATTTTATTTTTATGGTCCATGTACTTTATTTAATGAAATTAAGTATTAAAAAGAAATATCAATTATTAGCAGTAAACCATTAGTGGGTGGCTAAAATGGTAAAGTGGATGAAGACCAAGAGGTACGCTCTTTATATGGTCTCCAACTTGACTCCTTTTATCTAATAATATTGATAGTCATAGACCACAGAGTGTACGTCATGTTTTATAAGTCTTGTTCAGAGTGTAGGGACTTGATTTGATATGCACAAGCTGATCCGAGATATCCTAAGACTTGATTTGATATACACAAGTTAACTTGAGATATCCCACATAAATTATTAATAATGGTCGGTCTCCAATAATAATGAACTAGTCCCTATACTTGCATTTCACTGTGGGGTTGAATAACTTTTTAAATAAAAAAATAATGTTTAGGCATTGAAAATGAGTAAACAAAACATGAAAAACCATTTATGACAAATATATAAAAACGTTAATTAGAGCTAAGTCAATATGAGAATTAGAGCTAAGTCAATATGAGACATCTCATTAAACTCGCAGTCTAAATTATGTAACTAGAATGAACTGATTAAAAATAAAAGGAATTATAAAGTTTTTTTTTAAAAAAATATTAACTTTTTTAAACTCATGATTCGGTTATTAAATTTGAAGCACCTAATTTAGAAAAATAACAAAGTTTAATTTCAAAAAAATTAAATATTAAAAAATAAAATTGAAAAAAAAAATATAATCATACATATAAGGATTTTAAAAAAATTATAATCATTAAAAAAAGATAAATTGTAAACTTGATTTGAAGGATTAGATTGGAAGCCATAAAAACTTTTATAAAAAGACAAATAAAAAAATTAAGAAATTAGAAGTAAAATGATCGAATTAAAATACCTTATATATATAAATTAAGAACTAGAGGTTAAATTGAAAAAAAAAACTTTTAAAAAAAGAAAAATAACTAAAAAACAACAATCAAAACTCAAATATTTAAATTTGAAATAACAAAACAAATAAGAACATCATGTATCTACAAGGGTAAAAATGAGAAATTAAGGAAAAATAAAAAAGAAAGGGTCAGTGTAGTGATAGCACATTTAGAGCATATACACCAATCTATAATAAAAAAAAAAATCTAAAATAATGAATGACCAATCTATAATAAAAAAAAAATCTAAAATAATGAATGACCATTTTTTACAATTAGCACACTGCTTTTAATAAAAAATTATTATTTAATGATAACTTATATAATTATTCTCAATCAAACTTACAATGAAATATTAACAACAATGAATAAAATATTTTGCATTCAAGGGTATATATGTATATTTATTTGTATATATAAAAATACCTACATACCCCTACTTGATACCATTTAATTTTTTTATGAGATTTTGATTATTTTATTATTTATGAAAACATTGAAGAGATAAAGATATATTTAAATAAACAATAATAATTTATATATCATGTAAAAATACTAAAATATCTCAAAGCATTTATTTTTTTGATGAAAAGGAAAAAAATAATCACCAGTGATGAATAAAAAAAATATGAGGATAGCTAAAGTGAATCTCTCGTGCGTTTTTAATATATTTGTTATATGGAATATTGAAAATTAATTATGATATTTTAGTGAAGGCAAAGGCACAGGCAGGGATCATTTAGGACTGTAGTCGATAAAATTTTTAGATGGTGGATCCAATTTATAGGTTTTCGTAATAAATTGAGGTTTCCCTTTCACTTAGGAAAACCACCGGTAGATAAAAACGCTGCGTTTGTTACACATGAAGCAAACCAATAAAATAACAGTCTCTCAGTCCTCCTTTCCTTCCAAAACCCCTCCAGAACCCTAGATCGTTACTCCTCCGTCATTTCCGTTACTCCTCCATCGAAATGCCTGACGTCGCAGCGGATTCTGCGGCTTCTGCCAGCTGTGGCGAGTTAGTCCCATTCGTGCCAGACACTGAAATCTCCGTGGTGTACCCGCTTCACCATGGCCTAAAACCTCCAATCTCTCGCGTCTCAATCTCCTGGGCCCGAGGAAACAATCTCCGCGTGTCATTACTCCGTAACCCGCCTTCCAATTCCGACTCCGACGGAGAAATTGGGGGAAAAGTTGTGGAGGTAAATCTCGACAGCGGAGCCGCCGACGTCAGAGAACCAGCGCAGTGGAGGCGCATTGCCTACGGCTCTGTTACACCCTTCGCGCTCCTTCAAAGTCGCAAGAATTCAGCTTCAATTTTATCTAAATTACAATCAAGTCCCTCTCCATTTCACCTTGACTGGCAAGTTTTGAATTGTTGTTTTTAATATTTATGTTTATTTATTGAATTATTTTTAGTAGAAAATGGGATAAATTATTTTCTTTAGGTGGGAGTATGTAATGGAGTATAGCAAGGACATAAAAGAACTACTTGGGAATCCGAAGTCAAATTATAATCCTTTAATTGAAGATCCTAAAGAAGTTTTAAAGGTGAAATTTCCTTGGCTCAATTGTTATTTATTTATTTATTTAGAGCTTAGAATTAGTGGTTGATTGTTTAATTAAGTGAATCATTTTGTGTAGAAAGGTGAGGAACCAACGAGCTTAAAGGCAGCATGGGAGCTGATGGAAATGTTTTATGCAGACAAATTATGTCAGAGTTGGTTGCCAGAACGCCTTGTCGATTGGTTGGCTGTAATGATCATTTATGCTTTCTATCTTGTGTGATGTTTTGGGGGTTGTGTTTGATCAAACCCTTTTGTTAATACTGCTGTTCTTATTCTTGCTGGTCTTGCCAGGATTATGATTGCCTGTTATCAGGTGACCAGCCAGCTGTTCATTCAAAACTTGTGGAGTTTCAAGGGACACTAGTTACCTTACAGGTTTGATTATGTTCTGGATTTTTTTTTTCAAGTTCTATTAAACAGTTTGATTTTTTTCTTTGCTTAACTAAGTTTCTAATAAATTTGTGAGTATAAATGTTAAACTTATGCTCTCATATGATCTGAAATTGATTTTTCAATATCATGATTGGGAAAGGTGGCAAGCAATATTGCTAAATGTAATCATGTTAGCGAAAAAGTTTTCTCTGTATTGGGTTGTCCATGAATGGAGCTTGAGTCTATTTCTGTCTACTATCTATGCGAATGCTGGATGTTTGGCAAGCCTCTCCAGCTTCAAATGTTGAAATGAGATGAAATTTGGTTGCATATGTTCAATTGAATCAATTCTTAGATTGGAATTTTGCGCAACTTATTTGACATTTATTATATCCAGGGTCAAAACCTATGTGAACTCACTTTTTTCTCTTGTGAATATCGGATCTTATATGATTGCTTTATGTAGGTCATTGAAGATGATCCTAAATATTGGGAGGTGATATCATCTGCACTAGCAGTTGGTTGGCTAGAGATTGTGGTAAAGTGGCCTTGGGTCCAGTCTTTCCTGTAGTCTATTGAGTGGTATAGTTCCTCTTATAGGCGATGAAATGATGACAAATGTTTTAATGCAGGACTTAATGTTTTTTTCTTGCAGGTGAAACTTTTGCGCTTGCATGGATCTTATCAACTGGATCAGATTGGCCCTAGAGAGGTTGGTAAGAATTTAATGATGATTGATTGAATAGGCACACACAGTTTGAAAATTATTCTTAAATTTCATTTTCTGCAAACTTTTTATGCCTTTTAGATTGTCACCTTGAGAAGGATGCTATTTTTAGTGACTATTTTTGCTTGCTTGGCCAAGTATTGGTTGTTCTGTAAATGTCAATTGACATTAAAATCTTAACTGTTCATTTAATTTAAACCTCTTTGCTTGAGAGCGTCTTTATTTGATGTATGTGGAATTTATGTCTGTCCATAAATATGTAATAACCATGCATTTGATGATTGAGCTGATATATTACAATTTGAGGATCAGGAGTGTTTGGCAATGAGGTTGAACCTGCTTTCGTCAAAATTTGAAATTTGTTTTTGCTTCAAATTGATTTTTTTAGTGTTTTTTGATCATTTTGATATACTGATGTTGAAAATAAATTTTTCAATTTTTTTTTTTTAATGTATTTCTAAGTGAAACAATTTTTTTTTTTAATGTATTTCTAAGTGAAAAACACCCTCTACCATACTTCCAAACACCCTCGTACACTGTTTTGTCCTTGATTTTTTTTTAACCAACCAACATAAGTTGTTTGGGTTTCATTTTTAGGTTCTGTTTTGTGCTTCTTGATTCATTATGTGAATCTTTGTCAAAATGAAGATTCCTTGGTATCCATGCATCCGTTTTCACAGTTGCATTTTAAGTCCTGTGTGTTTTTCTGTTATTGAGCAGACAGAGAATGGGCTAGTTGAGACTGTAGCTGTTCTAATTTCAATGATGCCACGCATGCGTCCAGAATTAAAAAATGGAAAATTAGGTGAATGCTTTAAAGCCAAACCTGATTTTATGAAGGTACTTGTGCATTTTAGTATTATATTTGAATCTTTCTATCTTCTTTTCCTATATACATATAAATATACATATACATATATGTATGTATATAACCTTACTATCTTTTATTTTCTAGGCATGGGAGAAATGGCGAGAACAAATAACTAAGCTGGATTCCAGCGCATTCTGGGTTCTATGTGATCACCATCAAACCAGGGAGGGCTTGAAAAATCTGATCCAGATCATGCTGGGAAACACCAGGATTCTCTGCACTGCAACATCCCATTGGATAGAGCTGTATATATCTCACTTCCTGTTCATAAGGCCATTCACTGTTGTAAGTGCATATTTACTATTCTTTAAGTTTACCGAATTATTTGTGTCTTAATCCTATGCTGCTGATGATTTTTTATCTTTTTGCAAGATTTGAGATTCCATTTAATTCTTTTCTTGGGTCAGGGGTTTGAAAGCATGTACAACCTAGCTCAGAAATGCATTAAGATGAAACCAATGTCTAGTCCACATAAGCTGCTGCGGCTAATAATTGGAATTATTGGGGAAAATACTGAGGTGAGCTATTTGGATCTGAAACTGCTAGGTTGTATTGTCCATTGTTTTACTCCCTTTTTTTCTTTTTTCTTATAAACTCTTTTGAGTTTTCAAACATTTGCAGGTTGTATTGGCTGAATGCTCAAGAGGGTTTGGTCCTTGGTGAGTTTTATTAATTTTCTCTCTATCCTCATTTTGGTTCAACATGTAGAAGCTTATTTTATTGTCTTTTAAGAAAACTTCTCCCAAACAACCCTTTTAAACTATATTTTGATGACTTTGCAACAGGATGGTGACTCATGCCATAGAGTTATTGACTGCTAGGAGCGACCAAGCTGATATTCTTTTACACAAGGAGCATGATGACATAGGGGGAATAAGTATGGAAGAGCTCCATCGTCTTGTTTATGCTCAAGTTCTAACTTCTCACTTCTTGACTTGGCAAGTAAGTGCAAACTGCTTGAATCATGGCATGCTAATTAAATCCATTGTAATAATGACAGATTATGCTAGAAGGTTAGTTTTAATATTAGTAGTAGATCAGTACATAATATTTCATACTTGAGATCCTTGAATCCAAGCTAACTTGTGTAATGAATATGGAATGTACAGTATATTTGAATATATACAAAAGTAGGATTTAAGGAGAAGGATATGCAATTTAGTACACAATTGGAACTGAGCTCAAGAATAAATCATTCACAAATTTGAATTCCTGTAGAAGAGGCAGAATTGTATCTAAACAATGGTATAACTTTGACATCTAGCACGGGCTGTCATGAAGGAGCTCCAACACAATCTATTTTGATGTAAAAGTAGACCTGACCTGTTTGGATAAAAAAGAAATTCAAATGTCTTTTCATTTATCCTTATGCTAGGAGATGTTTAACTTCAATTTACTTTCTATTAGCTCATTGCATTTAGAAATTCAGTTTCAGTTAAAAACGAATAATAAATTCTGCCTGTTCTTGGAGAGAGCCAACCCAATTACTTTGGGATTCAACCTTAAAGTTCCTGGTTGTGTACTTTTCAAGGCATAAGGTTCTTGAATATGAAGTGTGGAGGTGGATATTCTATCTGTTCTATTGCTCATTTTTTAGGCAATGTTTTGTCTTATTTTTGTCCTTATTAACTCCCTCTTTGTGTGTAATTACCTTGGCAGTAATTTACCCGTTCCTATTTTGTCAGTATTTCTTAATTCAATTCTCTTCTGCCTGCAGATTGCTCCTGTTTACTTGACATCATGTATGAGGCAAGGAATGAGTTTGTTGGAGGTTTTATTATACAGGCAGCCTGCCCAACACAATCAATTGTTGCTTAAGGTACTTGGTTCATCTTGAAGTGTCATCCCTGTGTCAATTTTTTGGATGCATTTATAGTTGATGTTTAAATCTTTGATTGATAGACATTTATCTGTCTGCCTGCAGAATTTAGAAATTTGCCGTCTGTATGAACTCGACCATGTCAGCTCAAACATTATGAAGGTATATGAAATCTTAAAACACATCCTTGACTTTATTTATGCATGAACGCACCAAAAGTCTTGTATCTTTGAGCTCAGTGAATTCTCTGCCTGTAGCTTTTGTTTATAGTGAAACTTAAACACATTATATTGTATACATGCAGAAGTCTTTTAGTGCCAGATTCTCCTGAGTATTGCAAGACTTTAGGTACATGGGCATTTATACTAACAAATTTAATAATTGTGTATAGATTGCTGGAGTGTACCACTGGAAGCATGGCAGGAAAGGTTTGGGAGTTTTCTGGCTTCAGCAAGCTCGGGATGAATTTCTCCTTAACAAGATTGCCCAGCAGTTGTTTGATTCTGTTGGAAAGTCAATCTCTGGTGAAAGCTTCAAGGTGGTTGTCATTGCAATCATTGATTTGATCAGCCAGCCAATGCTAAATTACTTGAGCTATAATAATAATAATAACCTTGGTAATTTTTTTTTTTCATATTGTTTGTCTGTACAGCAATGGGAGGGTTTAATTGAATTGTTGGGTTCGGAATCAAAGCCTGCTGGGAGTCTTGAGTTTCTGCACAAGTATAAGTTTTCTCTAATTCGGCAGTGATCATAATCCTCCCTTTACTTCATTTCCATTTCTTTTTTTTGTTTTCATTTTCAATCTTGGTTCTAAAACTAGATGTGTCACAGGTATAGGGATTTCAAGAAATTGCTACAGCAGGTTTGTGAGAGGAAAACTCCAGATGCTGCTCGGCATGCTGCTGACTTGCTCATGTTGGTATGTTTAATCAACAAACTTTCTATCCTATTGATGTAGTATCATTCAATACAATCTACAGATTCTAAAGACCCTGGATCTTGTAATGTAGTGCATTTGTTGAAATATGAAGTGGTTGCACAAGCAGCAATAAGCTGTGATTTTGCAGTACACTCGTTGCTATCTCGGATCTCCTGTTTGGATGGAGTTTTTTTTGAAATAATATATATGTTGCAAGGTTTGGTATTTTATTAGTTTCTGTTTTGTGAATGTGCAGCTTATGAAGAACCCTTCTACTCCTCAACGTTTCTGGCTGCCTCTTCTTTATGATTCTGTAAGCTTTTTCTCCTTTCCTCTCTAAATAATATCTCTGAGATAGCAAAGAGTGCAGTGTATTGTAGAAGTTTATTCTGTGCATGCCTTGGAATTTCCATATTTTGCAACAGGTCTGGATTTTTTTAAATGTAAATTGCCAGATTACATTTTTTTGCAGGTTTTCGATATTGAGCAGGCTAACCATATTTATTTTATCTCAATTTCTTGTTGAGTTTGAGGTTTTGTTTGATATATTTTAACAGTAGGTTTTTGTGTTACAGAATGTGCATATGATTAATTGAATTCATGCATGCCCGACTAATTGCTAGTTGATGATTCTTTATTGCAGTTGACACTGCTTAGCTGGCAAGGGCGACCTTTGCTAAATGTCTCCCAAACAAACCTTTTGTTGAATAAACTGCAAGAATTGTCCATGGCAAGCCTGCGACCAGGCATTGTTGCCACTGACTTGCCAGCAGAGGCATTAGACTCTGTTAGGCTAGCCCTTGCTACAAATCTTGGGCGTGCCATCTTAGAAGAACAGTGATGCTTTGTTTTTGACATTCATGAAGATTTTAATGCACAGTACGTTTTGCTACCTTATCTATTTTCCTTACGACCAAGCATTCAAGCCACATGATCACCATCATTTCGAAGGAATGTTGATGGTGGATTTGGAATTCGGTTCATGCTTGTGTAACTCGTTTGTTTAAAGTTTTGCGTTGCCAATGTTTCACAAGAGAAACCACTACTATTTCTAGAAGTTTTACTTTGAGAAGGCTGCAGACATCGAACTTCACATCTCCTTGCAGAATTACATTACAAGTCTCTTGTTAGCAGAAAAGGAGGTGCCCAGATGCTAACACAACTCTGCTATTGAAGTTTTCATCTGAGTTGTATCGATGATGGCTTGCCATGGAGCAGTTTCAACTATTGTTGTATAATGGTATGCTTAAAGAAATGCAAATGACCTTAAATACAATCGTGATCCTTCACTCGAAAATGCAATCGTGATCCTTCCGTCACATTCGAGAGATGCTTTACGCCGCCTGAACGAGCATTTGCATGCCCTCATGCACAGCATTACCACGATCCAAGATTTTTTTTTTTTTTTTAAAAATACCTTCCAAGCTGTTTTGTGCAGACAATAGGTTGGGGGTCTTGACGGCTCGCCAATTGGAGTGGCAAGGAAAGGTGGAGTGTTGAGTTAAAGATGGTATATAGGAAGGAAATGCTGCTAGAGACGGAGAGATAGGAGAGGGAGAACAAACAGGTGCAGGGAAACAAATCAACCAATGCCTTTATACTTACAAAAGAATACAAGCACTACAATCAACATAATGAAGCTATACCAGGACTGCACCGTTTAATAAAGAACTGCTACTCGGTAACATTGAATTTATCGAGAAAAGAAAAAAGAACCTCGGAAAGGTTAAAATAAAAAAATGCAGCTGAGAATAGACAAAAATAAAATAAAATTGTAGGGCAGAAGAAATCTGGGGAGCTATATAGTCAAATAAATAGTCCTGGATCTTGTACCATTTTGGCCACCAAGCAAGCTTGGCAAGACTTATCCCCTATCAATTTTTCTTCACTCTGGGTTGCTGATCCTGATAAAGAGCGACTGGAATTAACTTACAGAGTACTATACAAGTTCACTGCAGCTTCCCAAGGCAGTCCTGCTTGTCCAAGCATGCCACGGAGGATTTTGTTCGTGTCATCTTGGCCACAGGCAAGTAGAACCACAGGACAAGGCCTGCTTAGTTACCATGTACATCACCTCAGCGTGTTACAGTTTCTTGGGTAAATTGTAGTTCTTCTTGAGAAACTTTGACGCTGCCACATCATTCCGGTAACAAAACACACGGAGAAACGAGTTTGGGTCAGTAGGATTCCACTGCCCTGAAGTTGGAGGTAATGGAAGTTTAGACCTGGCAGGAGAGCCATATGTCTCCAAGGTTACACGTCTGTAACGCTCAACTAGACTCTCTCTCTGTATCTGTTTTGAGAAGGGGAAGGATACTTCTGACTGTGGTTGAAAACTTGTCTATCAAATCGGCAGGCAGGCCATCCCCGTTGGCCCAAAATAGATCTTTAAGGGATTTGAAATCATCCTCTATTATCTGAGAGTCCTGAAGCGTGAAACCACGAGAAGGGCCTCCCGCAAGCAAAACAAACAGGAATCCATCAAAGGAAGCTCTCATTATGCTGGTAATAATTCGTGTCCGAACTCTTTCATGTATTGCGTTTGAAATGATCATCAAATTCCGCTCAAGCTCCCGGGTAAGGGGTTCAATCCTAGAAGATGATGGCTCTCCAACATACAAACCATCCCACATAACATGACTCAAGTCATGGAAAATGATTTTGTAAGCAACAGCCTCACTTAGTTGTTGAACTCCTTCTATACAAGCAGCTGGTGTTAGTTCAAACTTTTTTGCCAAACCATTTGTAAAGTCTTCTGCATGAGCAGATTCTGTGTTCCTAAAATGGGTTATTATTCTCTTCTCTATTACATCCAACTGTGATCGGATTCTGTGCAAAGTATTTATACGAACACACAGCTGGGGCACCCCAAAGGAATTATCCCCGTTCATTGTCACAACCTGTGAATTTCTCTTCTGAGTGTTTGGTAACTTATCTTTCTTCTTCCATGCAAACTTTGATCCTGCAGTACATCTGGTCAATGCTGGCATATTTGGAACGTATGTATTTTGTGATCCTACATATCAGACCGATTGATTGCAGTTGTTAGAAACTCAAGAAACTGAAGCCATGGACATATTTGAGCTTTGCAAACATTTACCACAGCCAGATTTTTCCTTGGTTGCATAATACTGAAGGCATCTGTCAAGACCAGCCATCAAGTCAGGTAGCAGTGCCGGATGCATTGGTATTCGCAGCTGAAAATATGCATCCAAAGTTTCATCAATAATCCGCAAAACTTCAATGGCAGATGGAGCGTATCCTTCTTGATTTGCCTGCGGGTTCCAGACCTACACAAGCTGGTTAGCTCACGGAAAGGTTATTACAGATCATACGAAAAATACATCAAAGAAAAGAATGGACAGTCAAAACTGACAGCTACTGGGGAGAAAATTCAACAGATGAGTGCATATGATAGCATGGAAGGTTAAAAAATGCTTGCACAAATCTATCACAAGTTTGCAAACTATCATAAATGTCATAACAGAACCTCTTTGATGGGCAGGCTATCCAATTAAGCATAATATCTCATTGCCAACATTCAACTCTAGCCTCCTCGATGTATGTCTACTTCAAAGGTTAGCTTTTTTACAAGCCAAGATTGCAATAGCATAATGGATTAACTTTCATGAAAGTCTTGTAACAATGTAACATAATCAATAGTAAGTGAAACATGTCAATGTTGACATGGTTGACACCAAATTCAATAGAATAAATCTGCAAGTTTGTGCAGTGGTGGATTTAATGATGGAAAAATCAATGCAGAAACAGCAGTACAAACAAGTTAACAAGTACCTCCTGTTCCAAATTCCAGTCAACCCATTCCTTAAGTCTGTTTAGTCTTGCTTTGATCCATCCTTTCAACAGATTGGCAATTGGAGCTTCAGCTTCATAAGGAGGCATTTCACGGATTATTGCCTTCCCACCATCATCACTGTCCACTGAATCTTCTACAGCAATCTGCACCAGATCTTTCTCCGGTTTATCTGTGACTCTAAGCACTTGCACGGCATCTGGTGTTAATTCCACTATACTAGATATGAATTATTTTATCTCATTTCCATAGCAAGCATGAAGAGTGGCCACAGCGACACCAGCCGAGAAAGGATGCCATCTTTTCAGTATTGGACTAAATACTTGCTTCTCGTTAACTGCCAGCTCACCAACATCCTTTGCAAGAATGGCAAGAATAGGAAGAGGGTTTGGCTGGTTTTTGGATGCTCTCCGGCTTGAGTCTGCTTTCTCCATTCTCTAATTTTATGCCAAATAAAACAGTCATCTAGCCAGCCAAGAGAACTGATATTAACATAGATGCACCTCTCCATCTCTCTCAATGCAATTATAGTGTTCATGGAAGAAGCTCATGAAAATAAAAAAATTACTTGGAGGCTAGCTTTTGTTTATGAGATCACACTTAATTTGAGCTTAAACTATGCTCATCACAGGTAGCACTAAGTTGACCTCTTGACAGCTATCTTAACCCAATTTGAATAGCCAATATAAAGATATATTGCATATGCTTATCTTGAAATAAATGGAAAATATAAAGCCACCAAACAGAAATCTTTTTTGAAATTTATATAAAGATATATAGCAGACATTTGAATTTTATTTATTTATTTATTTTTAAGGAAAAAGGAAGCCTTTATTCCATTCTTTATGCTAAGTAGCCACACACATTAAGATATTGATCAAGCATTGGGGAAAGAAAAAGAAATAAAAAAAGAAGAGCAGATCTTCAAAGAAAAGCGATGTAACAAGTTCCTCAATCCTTCATAAACTCTCTAACTATTATAAGGTGCTGACCAAGTAAACAACACTTCAGCACTGCATTCTGAATCCCATTCCTAAAGGTTCATGCAGTGTAGAGATAGCAAGTGCCCTCATACTATAAATGAGAGCAAGGTCATTGAGAACTATGGCTCTCATGTCTCATGTCTATCGACTAGGTTGCAAAGACTTACTTGAGCAAAATCAGTGCGTAGTGATGATCTGATGTAAGTTTCAATCATGGTACGAGCCACATCTACTTCACCTTTTCTCTTTCAGCGATACTCATTAGATATATCCTCAACCAAAATCTTGGCTGCCAACACCCCCAGAGAAACAATGCTCTGCATGGTCTCGGCATCCCCCCTGTCAAAAGTGTCATGATAAGCGAGGACTCTTTTCTCTGCCCATCCCAATATTGAACTCAATGTAGAACTCAAAATCTTGGAGCATTGCGGATCCTTTGTTGTCTTCGCATCTTTTGCAACTTCTGCTAGCTTACCATCAGCTGCATCAAGCAGATCCGTTTCTACTTGGCCAGTTGCAACAAAACGGTGAAATAAAAGGATTGTCCAAGTCTTCTTTATGTGTTCCATCAGTTCATCAATTTCATCAATTATAGATGTTTCGTCATTAACATCAAAGCAGGCTTGTAAAAGAACTTCATAGAGTCGAAGATTCAATGTAATCCCATCAGCCCAGTGGCATATCTCTGAGAGAGACCCATCAGATCTACTTGCCAGTGACATAACAGCACTGCGAAGCACTTGCAAGGACTCGTTATTCTTTCCAGTCTCTATAGGCCTATCCATAGCTCCATGGAGAATTTGCTGCAGTCGCTGTGAAGTAGGATTTGACTTATCAAATGGCACATGGGGATGCAAAAGAAGTCCAGCCTCAAGAACTTTCATGGTTCTCTTCCGCCACATTTCATATTCTTGTTGATCAGTAAAATCCAAAAGCTTGAGCTGTTGCAGTAGCTCTAGTGGAAGAACCATCGACTCAATTCGCCTTCCAACCTGTAACTAGCACATTAATAGGGCTCCATAATAGCCATGAACATGCGTGTAGTCAAATGCTATCTCAGCTAAACAAACTACAAAAAGGCTCAACATACCAGCACGATACAAAGCGGTCATCAAATGCATTACAATCCACGAGTAGATGGTAATTAGTAAAATAATAGCTCATTTTAACAATAATTTAGAGCTTAAAGTTTTCCTTTACGACACCAGCAATCATGATCGACACTAATTATCCATCAAAGCATCGCGCTTTACCAGATAAAAAAAACTCAACAGAATACAGGAA